TATTACTCATATCCAATGAAGAATGTTTTAAAGAGAAAAAAAAAAAGAAAAACTATTCATTATTACAACTTCTCAGAATGAGAGGGTATAGAAAAATGTCAAGTTATCCGATTTTCTGTGGTAAATACAATTTAGAGAGAGTTAAAAATAATAGCCTGAGTGATGATAGAGATTTCAAAATCCCAGTTACCATGGTAAGTATGCTTTCTGCCTTCTAAGAAACAACAATAACTATGTAAAGATAACAAAAGGAACAATGGATGTCTTAATGGATTAATATTATAATAAATAAAGAGATTTTTTCGAACAGTAGTGAACCACAATAGCAAAAATTCATTTTATATTATTTTAATTAATAGAATTTTTGGCTGACCATACAGCTATTTCGAGTATTGCCAAATACTTATCATCAGCGGTCTTGGAAATAATTATTGCATTTATTTATTCGTAAATAATTTTTTGAGACTGCAAGTGCCAGGAATCGAACTATGATTTGCTGAATAACAGCTAAAAAGCAAAATCCATCTTACAGAATTTATACCAGGTACTGGTTGCAAGTCGTTAAATTGAAATTCAACACATTTTTCTTTTTAGATAAAAGATTGTAACATCATGATCTTGTTGTTTCTAACCATACTTAAGGCTGACAAATGGGATTTTTTCTAATGATACAAAAGTAGTACAGAATGAGATTTCTTTGTGACCGCATTGTTGAGTTCATCTTCGTTCCTAAATAAGTCACACATCTGCGTATGTATTAGGTTATCATCCTCATTTATACGCTTTGTGGAGCAGATACGATATAACCGTCACTAATATTTTTCATGATCGTGATTATCGCGAAAACCAAGACCGACAAAAACAGGTGCCATCCAGATAGCTTAACGAAGTAAAGTTGCAGAATTTGATTTAATTAGAGATAAAAGGCTAACCATTCTCAAATGGCAACCAATCTAATTAAACTTACTAATTAAATTGCCCTAAATCTAAATTGTTATTATGAAATAAAAACGAAATTTTATATAGGTCCATTCATTATAACTTGAAGTGTTACGCATGTGAAACCATTTGCCTTTCTAGATGAATTTAAGGACCTGTAACATGTCTTTCTTTGTAATTTCTGTTAGACAAGAAAGGAACGAACTCCTAGGGAAGGCATATAAATATTTATGAACAAAAACAATGCAATGACTTGACGATTTCTATTATTTGAATATCACGACAATCACCCACTAACCCCTTCTTTGACGTGATACTGATAGATTTAATTACATTTCCACCTGCTTGTATGCGTAAAAACAAACTAAATTCTAAAATTTGAATTTTAAAGTCTTTAAAAATTTTCTTTATTACAAAGTATCTGACATAAATTAACTTAGAGGAAAAATGTACTTACTACCACAATTACGAAACATATCCTATTTTTTTTTTTTTTTTGGTTAAATTTTGCTTACTTTGTCATTTGGCTTATTTGATGAATGGTAAGCATTCTTTTGGTGCGTATGTCTCCATGAGGAGATGCGAAGTTATGTGAGTTATCATTTACCTGCAAAAAACCATTTAATACAAAGGAAATCATATCTTAGATATTTAATCCAATGCCTGACAAAGAAATTGTGTTTCCATAAAGTGGATGTGTAACAATTTTGGGCTGCGAAAAGCGTCGCATCCGCTCCAGAACAATTTCGACAAAAAAATATTATCTCAGATTCAAAGGGATTTTCAAAAGCTGCAATTTCAAACAAAGAAAATGTATTTCTATGACTATGTTTTAGTTTTCTCTGTCGTTTTTAATAAAATTTTATAAAAAAGGGAAAGGGAACTTAAAATCAATATTTTCCATTGTTAAGCTGAAAAATGTGATGTCGTATTTGTTTTGTGTTTTATTTTGTACCTAAAGCACTCATAAAAAATATGCAAAATTCCGGCCCAGAACAACGAAACAAAAAAGTTAGAAACAAACATACTTTTGCTTGAAAAATACTTACTCGTGCATATATGGATTCGAGTAACCTTCCAAGTTCGATTTTGATCCTTTTAGTTTTAGTTTCCTAAATAATAAAGAATACACGCACCTTCACCTTTGCAAATCAATTTAAAAATATAAATACGTTACGGCTATAATGGATTAAATGCTCACAAACATTCTCGGTATAAGGCAGTATCAGACTATGCAAAAGGCTTTGCACTACAGGTAACAGCGACATACACATATCCTTGTATATGCTGAATGGTAAGTGTCCTTTTGGGATAAATATGCAGCAGAAGAAAATATGCTCATATCCTTCGTGCATCGTTATCGTCGCCTCGTCGACTCACTCAACTTTACACTAATGGCTGGAGCTTTTGATTAACATAGCGTGAAATTTTATTGATTGGCAATATTGATGAAATATCGAATGCTTGTGGTATTCGGGAAGCAACTAATCGGTGTAAAATGTGAACGTGAAAATGCCATTTCACCACTAGAGTTCCCTTCATACATTTTACTACTTAAGCAAGTAAGCGCTTTGTAGGACCGCAATGTTGTTGTAATTGCACTGTCGAATCCTGTACATTTATCAAAATAAATCTCAAACGTCAGACGTCTCAAACGTCCTTTTACTATAGAAAATAACATTCACGCACACATACCGTTGAGTCTGTAATTATTTGTATAAAAAAATTAATATTTTCACTTTTACGCATAATTGGAGAAAAGCCAACCTACCGAAAAATTTGCTGCCACGTGAAAAATGTTTCTCAATCGTTACTTAAGGCATTCAAAATACATGACCAGTTTACTTAATAAAGAAAGTTCACTACGTCTGCAGTATATAAAGATAGTATATATATAGTATTAAATAAATATTGATAAATCAAATTATTAGATATAAACACCCAATGTCTGACAGTCGGATGCGGCTAATGACAAGACTGCACTTGTTAGTCTCCATGGAAAATGGGAACTTAAAATATGCTGATTATTGTTCGTAATATAAGACTTTTAGTATAAGGCTTTTAGTTCTTATAAAATATGGAAACCAAAAATATTCTGATTGTTGATCGTTACATTACATAGCCTATCTTTAGAACCCTTCTGGGAATTTTCACTATTTGCACACTTTCTTTAAGCAAGTTATTGCATTAAAAGAGTAAAAAACATATGAGAGCATGTGTCTACCAGATATAACACAAATAAACCATGAGAATAGAGAATTAAACATGTGTTATCTGCCTAAAATCCGCTATAAAACGAGCTTTTGAAGAGTAAATTGACTTTTAGCTAAAACTTTCTATTACTTGATACTTACAAAGCATAAACAATTAGCAGGTTAAATAATTACATTTACCTAAATATAAAGATTGATGTTTCCGAAAAACATAGATCTTTCCATTTAACGTAATTTTTCTAATAAGAAGTCTTCGCGGAGATCGGTTAAACAGTTATTGGCAATAATTTAATGGACAACTAACAACGCTAAATGTTATTTTTTTGTTTTGTTTTTGCTTTGATTTTTTAAGAAGCCTGTTATTTAAATAATTGTACTTTATTAAATTAATTTATTAAATTGTAATAAATTGAATCAAGATTTTTAATGATTTACATTAGGGCCCACGTCTAATAATTGTGTGCCCCGCGACATTGTTTTAATCTACTACAATTACGGGAATTTTCTTATTATAATGTATTTATAATAACAACTATGAACGTATGTATTTGTTACTGCGGCCCTCCAATCTGTGCAGTGATTGGTATTGGCCCGCGATTGCATTTGGTCTGGATAGCCCTGATTTACATCATTTGTTAAAATATATAGAAAATTTTAGTTGAGATATTTGCACGGAATTCCTAAATTAATAGTAGGTTTTAACAGAAAATTAAATAATGATACTCGTTGTAATACCCGTTAAAATAGATAACATTATATGCATTATATTATTTTGTGGATATATACATAAGTATATAATTATGGTTTATTTAGCATATACAGTTGGAATTTGCACAAAATGTAATTAATAATATTGAAAAAACAGCATTATCATAAAAATAGTCTAAACATTTTTAATTAAAGTAAAAATTGATAAGGTAACTTTTGTAGATAATATATTCGATAACTGATAAAATTTATTAATATTTTTTAGTGAAACAACAAAATAATTGATTTTATTTGCTGAACATACAGTTATCTTTTATAACACCAATAAAACCTATTAGTTTTTAACCAAAGATTTATCTAAAAATATCAGAATTACGCAAAAGTTAAGACAGTGTCACACTGACAATATTTTAAAAGGAGTCACCCTTAGCACTGGTTTCTTAGGAACTAAAACAACAAATTTTCTGCTGACTAAGTTCGACATTTTTTCCTCTCTGCTACAATATACAACAACGTTTTGTAAGCTTATAATCCACTATGTTATATATATATTTAGATATAGAAGCAATACGTCACAGTGCAAAATGCGGCACAAGAACAAACATTTCACACACGCATAATTTAAATATTGGCAGTGAATTCGAATTATTTAAATAAGTTGAAGGTTGTGTGCCTGAGCACAGACTACTTAGCCTCAGTGTGTGCCTGTCTAAATTTAGATATAGTGACGCAGAAGGAACTAACAAGCAATATTCAAGCAATGTAAAGAGAGACCGTTCTATTGAACCAATTTAATTTTTTATTTGCGAGTACTTGCTTCAGTACGAAAATAAATAAATAACAGCTGCTTTAGTACTCATAAGAAAAAAAATTATAAGAAATAATATGTAGTTATAGATGCATTTTATACATATATTATTTCAAGTTACTTCTATTAATGCACTTGATCAATTGCACAATCTCACAGTAAAGTTAAAAATCTATCGCATCTCATGTATTTCATGTATTTTCGATACAAAGTTATTGCATGCTATTTATTACCAAAATCATTCATTTTAGCCAATAATTCGTAGTACATTTTCTGTTGTATGAATAAAACACCCACACGGCAACACTGTTTGTATGATTTTCTTGAGGTCATTTGAGCAGCGAGATTTCATTATCAGGTGACGTTTGTACTTTGGTTTTGTTCAGTCCGCAGTACTGAAGCATTTAGTGGAACGAATTTGCACAAAAGTATTTTATTTATTTTCCATTTTTAATAGTGTTAATACTATAAAAAGTTTTTTGCATTTTTCGAATTTTTAATTTACATGTGCAACATATATTGATTATTTTACTAACTTGAATTAAACGAAAATACGTAATGGCTAACCAAAAAGTGGAGAAGAAAACGATACCCAATGGCTTGAAATTTGTTTTTGGTGGTTTGGCAGGAATGGGCGCCACTTCCATAGTACAGCCTTTTGATGTGGTCAAGACCAGAATGCAGATATCTGGCGTTGGCAGTGGAAAGAAGGAGTTTACGAGTTCAATGCATTGCATACAGACAATTTTAAGCAAGGAGGGCATAGCGGGATTGTATAAAGGGATTGGAGCTGCTTTGCTGCGACAAGCAACTTATTCTACAACTCGTTTGGGGATGTACACGTACCTTAATGATATGTACAAAACAAAATTGGAACGTGATCCAAACATAACGGCTAGCATGATGATGGGTATTATTGCTGGCGGCACTGGAGCATTTGTTGGTACACCGGCTGAAGTGGCATTGATACGTATGCAGGCAGATGGCCGTCTATCACTTGCTGAGCGTAGAAATTATACAAACGTAGCCAATGCTTTAACACGTATTGCTAAGGAAGAAGGTTTGTTGACGTTGTGGCGTGGTTGTATACCAACAATTGGACGCGCGATGGTTGTCAACATGACTCAATTGGCTTCATATTCGCAGTTTAAAACATATTTCCGTAAGAGTCCTATGAATATGGAAGAAGGCATAAAATTGCATTTAGTTGCTAGTATGTTGTCTGGATTGTTGACAACGATAGCTTCTATGCCATTAGATATTGCTAAGACCCGCGTACAAAATATGAAATATATTGACGGCAAGCCTGAATACCGTGGAACCGTTGATGTTTTATCGCGAGTAATACGGCAGGAGGGCGTATTTGCACTTTGGAAGGGCTTTACTCCATATTATTGTCGTTTGGGTCCACATACAGTGTTGACATTCATATTCCTTGAGCAATTGAATCAGGCATACAGCACGCACGTTCTGGGCAACGAAGGCAAATCGGTTGGACTGTAAGTTGCTGAATGTGTAATACTAATGCATTGAAATTTGTAGTTTATTGTAAACGAACAAAAATCCTGCTGTGTGGAAAGAACAATAAAGTATATTTTGTTTGTTTATTATTAATATAAAATATAATTTCTCGATAAACGAATTATTAGCTGTTGTATGTTACTAGACATGTATTTGTTAAACGACTCAAGAGATTGTTGTGTTTTGATTAATGAAATTTAGTGTGAAATAAAATAAAAATACATATAAACAACAAACTTGGTTTCTGTTTTGCACTTGAAACGCAAATGAGGTCAAGGTCTTGCGAATTTCAAATTTTAGAAATGTTTATTTAGTTCGTTACGGTGGCTTTGATGTACTTGGCGATTGCAGCTATATTAATTTTATTTTTGGTTTTCAAAATGCATTAATAAATCAACCTTATTGCTTTAATTGCAAGCAACAATATTTGGACTTTATATTTATTATACTGTTGTTGCTCAGAGCAACCACTTATTTCTTATTGATTTTGACATCTGCTTAAAACAGCTGAGCACCAACATTATTTTCTCTCCCTCTGAGTGGAGAACGAAAAACTATGTTGTGTATTAGGACGCAGAAAAGCAGAGTTGTTATACGACATGAAATTGTAGTATATTTAAAAAAAGTATTTATTGGAAAAATATATATAAGGGGTATTCAGGATGTCTGTGCATCGTTGAATGTGCATCGTTGCAAACTCAAATAATCGTGAACACACTTTGTGCATATTAGTCTTGAAAATATTTAAAACAGCTGATTTTTGTTTACGTATTTAACAATGCCAAAAAAAGTGAAAAGTAGAATATATTGAATACTGAGCTGGATTTTGCTGTTGCGGAATTAATGGGTAGTTTAGATTCGTGCATTTATATGTTTAATATAGCAGTACATTTATATTCATACGAATTTCAGAAATTGATACTCATGATGAATATGTGTCAGAATATGTATTAACTCCAAACAGATATAATGCGCATCAGATGAGTAGATACTTAGGAATTGCTTTCAATTTGCGACATAGCACATACCGAATATGTGTTGAGCACTGCTTTGGCATATTTTAAGGAAAAAATTTGAAAGTCTTAAATAACTATAGATGCATCTCCATAACATAAACAGCTATAAGTATTGCTCCAAAAATACCACAACTGAAAATGAGATTGTGCCGGAAATATCAGCATCATTTAGCAGAAATGGTAAAATGAAACGGCAAGAAGTATTTTCATTAATATTTAATGGTTAAAAATAAATATTTGTAATAAATTATCAAGAAAATAAAAAAAGGAAAGAATACTTAATAATAATAATATTTATCATATATATATACATATAGTAATTGATAATGTAATAACACAAAAAAATTAGATTTCCAGAACATGATTTCTATATTTCACATCCAGCTCGTACTTCGCCAAACGTTTCCTCGATTGTAATTCTGACATTTTTATATGTACTCTGCTTTATATTTACAACTTTAACAGTTGTACAGATATCAATTTCTTCAAGACCTGCGCCTGTTGAGTTACACCTCTCACTTGTTTTCCTGTAACTTTGTCTTAACCTTCAGTTTCCTCAAGGAAATCTAGAATGAGATTTACCTCATTGTTGGTCCACTTTTTGTTGCTACATCTCCGAATATTTTTGGTCAGCAGCCCCGACATGTTGGACGTAAAATAAATACAAAATCAAACAATTGCATAAAATCATAAAATTACAAAATGACAAAATAAAAAAAAACGTCCGTTTCGCTAAAGTATTGCCCAGCGAATAATAAAAAAAGTAGTATCATTCACAATAGAGTCTTGAAAATCAAATATGCAAGAGGTAATTGGTGTTGAAAAAATGGTCTTGAATATTGTCTAGCTAATCAAGTGCAGAATTATTTACAAGGGAATTGTTTTTGTAAAATCAAATAATTTTGCACATGCAACGATGCACAGACATCCTGAATACCCCTATAGATAAAAATATTTAAAATCGCGACGGTTTAACACGTTATGTAAAATTTTAATAAATTGTTTTCATACATTTCTTGCAAACCAAATTCTTTGTAGATTTTATGTGTTTATTTCTTATTTTTATATATTTAGAAGAATATCAAAAAAGTAAAACAAAAACAAATATTATATATCAGTGTAGCTTAATCATATATCAGAAATGATCAATGTAGCATATTATATTAAAAAAATATGTTTCCCCTATATAATTATTATATTTGAACTTTTCATTTTGTAAGTAGCAAAACTTATTCAGAAATAGATTAAATATGAGCTTCTTGTATGAGCTATTTTCAAGTTATTGACGGATTTGCACTGAAGAATTTTTCGGATAGAGTTTTTTGTCATAAGTCAGTAAATACTAATCGTGAATTGTAAAATATTTCAGTGAAGTGTTTAAATTTGTAACGTCGTTATGATATATAGAGTTTTTTTTATTATAATCTGGTAGATAATTTCATGGTTGTTGAAGTAGCTATTTAACCATGAACTTCGCGAACAGATTTATTTTTTTCAAAATAAATTTCTACAATTTGAAATCGATTAAACGATTAATAATGAATCGCCAAACCTTACTGAACAGAAATGTCAACACAGTTTGATATTCTCAGCTGTCAAACCATAGTTATCGAATCGATATCGATAGTTTTCGTACAACTAAAAAAAACACACTATATAAGACATATAAGAGAAATAATATAACGCAAATTGAGTGCTGGCTATTAGTTAGTACTCAATGCACGTAAGTATTTTACTAGCTATCAGATTTATAGACCCAAAATTGAAACAGATTTAATAACACAATTTTCAGAAGCAAAAATTAGAACAGCTTTTCATATGACATTATCATTTACATAATTTCTTTTTTCTATGTATAAAAATAAAGTTAAAAATTTGAACCAATAATTTGCATAACATTATTCTAAAAACAAATAGCAAATATTTGATTTGCAATTTTAGGCTAATTTATCTAATGGAGAGTCAAAACGAAACCAATCTTTTCCAGTTCACATATTAACATATAGACAATTATTTGAACTTAAATTAATACGTTATTAATGTACCGACCAATTTTTAATAAAAACTAGTAAAAAAGTTAACTTTGATTTTGCAGAAGCGTAAATACCCTTCATACACGTAGTGTAAGTTCTTCAATAAAAGCTTTTTTTAGATTAGAATTAAATTTTAATTTTTTTACTTTGATTTTTATTGATCAATTAATTTTAGTTAAATAATAAACGAAATATATTATTTAGGTAAATAATTCGACCGATAATCGAATTTTTACCGGTCAATGTATAACCTAGTTTGTCCCCATCATATACCAAATTAAGAGTATTATATACTGTTTTATAATACATAACAGTATTGCATTGTGCACTCTAAGTTACTCTAAATTACTCGGTAGCTTCGGACATAATCATTAATTTGTCTCATCAAGCTGGGTAGGGATGTATGAGGGATATGTGGTCATCGATGCCAAAATAATTGGCACGTGCTATATTCTTAAAACACTGTATCTTGAGAAACAAAAGCATATCCTTTGTTTTCTTAACTCTTATTCTGTCTGATATACATGACGGATTATTAAAAGTATAGCATTCCCAATAGAAACCTCTTGGGAAAAAATTGAATATTACCATAAGTAGAAAATTATTTAAACAAACACACTTTCTCTGATTTAATAACAATAATCCCCGCAAGTTTTTTTATATCATATGTGGGCATGTCTATTGGCTACAGTAAATGCGTGATACGTAGTGCACAAATGCTACAAGCTATTTGCTTTAATTATATAGCACACAGATTGCTCTTAATTTGATAAGTGTAAACAGCAGTGCAAACATAAGCATGAGCCATAAAGGTCAAATTATCTGCCTAATATGCACAAATCTATTTATATTTTTATTATACGAGTACATGTGTAAGTTAACGAACAGATTTATTAATATCATAATTAATCAAATATTGGCCCACCCATTACATATAACACAATTCATTTCATGATAAGAACGTTAAAAATTCCGTAACCATTACCAACTATCTCTTACAGGCGACACATGTAGTCCTTGACTATATTTGGCACCAATTCGTTTACATCCATTAAATGACCGCTTCTTTCCTCTTCAAAAACATTGACTTTTTTCATTTTTGCCAAAATGGACTTCCAAGGCGGTAAGTGGGAGTAGATTTCAGGCAATTATGAATAAATATTATTCAGCAAAAAAATCAATTTGTCTGCTCACCATTTGCTTTGCCTTAAAGCTGAGCCTGTCCATTAACAAATCATAACTTCCGTAAATAAAAAACTTACCTGAAATGAGGCGAAATTTGGGAATCACAAAATTGCTTGTCATGTAATTTTGTTAGTTTTTGCTGTTGATTTTCTTTTTCTTTTGTTAAAGCAACTATATTTTGCTTAATAATTTTGCTATGAGAAATAAAAATGTATAATCGATTAGGCATTAATAGCATAGTGACAGATTGAGTGAGCCTAAATGACCAAAATAGAGCATCAATCATGGCAGATGTCGGCTAGTGTTTGAAAAAATTATAGTTTAAGGAGTCAAATGAAGAAGACGTTAAGTGCATTGGTCACTACAATATTTATAAGAAATTGAAATTTGAATCCTCAATGTCATAAGCATTTTCCAAATATTAACCTTGGAGTTATCGGTTGTCCTTCGTGATAATATATTGAATTAAATTTGAACCAAATATGTTTATATTAAAAGGAATAACATAAAATTATAAATGAACATAAACTGATTAGTAAATATGTATGTTTCAACTAAAAATGATTAATTCCGAATTTTAATTTTAAAGAAACTGAAAGTTGGGGAATAACCTTTCTTCAACAAAATAAACTACATCTAAATAAACTAAAAACTGAATAAATTTAAAATTTCAAAATATAAAATTTGGGATATTAGTTTAAATATGCGCGTACCTTTGGTCCGAGTAAACGTTTGGATCTTGAATAAGGTCAATTCAATAAACGGATACATTATTTTGTCCACTATCTTGTTTTTTATGCATTTTAGTCAACGAGTTTTTATTATTGTTGTTGTAACCCAGAAGCTCCACGGTTTCTAAGCGAGCTTATTTGGTTTGCGTTTTTTGTGAATCGCAACACAACTAGAGATACCTGAGTGGTCTGTCTTCTTTACAAACACTTAAATACAGCTAGGAGTGATGAACGGCAGTTTCAGAAAGTAGTCTCGACTGGTTGTCA